TTGTAGCAGGGAGCTGGTTAACTTTACATATATATAAAAGGACTTATTTAAAAAAAAAAACAACAAAAAAACAACAGTAAGACACTACCACATCATGACACTGTCACACTGGGCTTTTAACACAAGTCATACTCTACAATACTGGGGCAAGGGGATCCAACACAAATTGATTCTGAAGCATAGCAATTAAGAAATAAAACAATGAAAGGAAATTTCTTTTCATGAAAACTCACAATTAAACTTCAGAGGGACCCAGTGTCACACTTCCACTTGGGGACTTGATACAAAAAATTTAGTTTGAATTGCTATTAGCAGGTAGCAGGCACCACCTTCGAATGAATCTTCAAATTGGAAAATACTGCTTCACCACCTGTTGGGGATAAGTTGCAAATGGAATAAATTAGTATGGCTTGTAGCTATTTTGATGACTGCCTTGCCTTAAGACTTTTCCACAACCACTCTGCAGGTCACCACCTCTCCCATGAGCTCTTCCCACAAACCCTCCTCATGACCCCCACTGCTGCTGTTTACGGGTGCTGCTCCTTTGACATTGCTATTTTATTTCACATTTGCTAAGCCCAACATTATGGTATTTCTTTTCCATTATCTTCTTCACCGGTTCTTCTTCTTTAAAAGTAATAAAGCAGCTTAACTTTTGTAAGCAAGAGACCACTGACCGACAATACAATAGACTATCAGTAGTTTCGAGGTTCAGTCCAGGCATACAAATTGTTCTATATGACTGCAAGGAAAAGGTGAAGCTGCTATAGTTAAGCAGCAGATGAAACGGTGCACAAGCCCTGTTTCTTGAAAAGTTTTTCAAGCTTTTTTATTATACTTTTTCTCTTATTCTCATAAAATCAAGAAGAAGATAATTTATAGACAACCAGATTCCAACTTCATGGGTCTTTCACAAAGATGAATTTTACAGTTACTCAATGCGCACCAGTGCACTAGAATTATGGGGACTAAGGACAAATAAGACTGGGGTACTTCATGCCGTGAATGTTCATATATGCCTGTAATCCCAGAACTCTGAGAGGCTGGTGGACAAATTTATGTCCTGCTTTTAGATAAAGGGAGACAGTAGAGAGATTTCAATGTATCTATTTTCTCTAAACTGTCTCCAGCTCAAATATTCCATGATCATGTGGCATCCGTTAGGGCAGCATATTCTGGGACCCTTCACCACTAGTGACAACCTGGCCCCCACCAGCCTGACCAGGGCAGCATCACCAAATGGAAGTGGTATATGCATGACTGGGCCTAAGCAGGTCCTGGAGCTATAAGTAAGTTACATGAAGCAGCGGCCCAGATGCCCATGGATCCGTCTCCTGCTATACTGCTTTCTGTCCCCCAGCACAAGCCTGTGGCCTTCTAGAGTGACTCATATTATCAATTAATAGAGGAAGAGAAGATGAGGGTCTGGATTACAGGTGGTTCCACATGTTATGTAGGCACCATCAGAAAGTGAGCAGTTGCAGCCCTGTAGCCCCTTTCCAGGTCATCCCTGAAGGACAGTGATGAAGGGAAATCTTCATAGGAGGCAGAGTAGGTAGTACCCATCTAGCCATCAGGTAGTGGGTACAGTGGTGATTATATACTGGTTAATGAGCTGTAGCCAATTGTCTGGCTGGATATTTATGTATTTGGAAGAAATATGACTGGAAACTTCGTGATAAAGATATTTGGAAAAGGAGTGTGTAGATACAAGCAATGGAAGTAAAGATATCTGGAGAGTATAAATGCTCACCAAGAGGTGGCCTCAGCAGAAGAGGACCTTAATAATCAAATGGATCAAAATTTTCCCCCTGTCTTTGCCCAGTCGGCTCACAAGTGAAGTGACCTTGGGGGCAGAGGTGAAGGTTATGCATGGGCACAGCAACATGGACTTCCATTCACCAAGACTGGTCTGGCTACAGCCACTACTGAATGCACTGTATCCCAGCCACAGAGAAGAAGAGTGAGTCCCTAATATGGCCCAATTCCCCAGGGCCATAAGCCTGTGACTTCGTGGGAGGTTGATTATATTGCTCCTATCATGGAAAGGGCAGTGTTTTGTCCTTGCTGGCAGAGACACTTATTCTGGGTATGGATTTGCCTTCCTTGTGCATAATGTTTCTGTCTGAACTTACAGATGCTTCATCTACAGTCCTGATATTCCACCATTGCTTATGACCAGTGAATATGTTTCACACTACAGAAGTACAGCATGGGGCTTGTGTTCATGGAATTCAATGGTTTTGCCATGTTTCCCATAATCCAAAAGCAGCTAGATTGACTGAAAGCTGGAATGGCTTTGTAAAGATGCAATTATAGTGCCAGCTGGAAATGCAGTATCTTGCAGTGCTGGGGCAAAGTGCTCCAGAACACTGTGTATGCTTTCATTCAGTGTCCTATATATGGTATTGTTTCTCCCATAGCACGTTCATGGATTCAAGTATCAGTGTATGGAATTGGGAATGGTATCACTCTTCATTACCCCTAGTGGCCCATTAGCAAAGTTTTACTTCTTGTTCCCATGACTTTATGCTCTGCTGACCTATGAATCTCAGTTCCAGAAAGGGGAAGGCTTGTAGAAGATCCATAACAATGATTTTTTCATTTGAACAGGAGCTAAGACTTTTCTCTGGTTATTTTGGGTTCCTTGTACCTCTGAATAAGCAATTTAAAGGAGTTATGGTGTTGACTGAGGTTTTTGGGGTTTTTTTTTTGTTTGTTTCTTTTTTTCTTTTTTGAGACAGGGTCTTGCTATGCATTTCAGGCTGGCCTTGAGCTCACTTTGTAGCCCAGGCTAGTCTCGAACTCGCAACAATCCTCCTGCCTCAACCTCCAGAGTGCTGGGATTACAGGCATGTGCCACCAGACCCGGCTTGACTGAGGTTTTTGATCCAGGCTGCTAAGGGGAAATTGGACTATTATCCCACAGTTTAGGTCAGGAAAAATATAGGCAGATCCTTTAGGGCATTTCCTAGTATCACTTAGCCTGTTACCTGGCACTCCACAATGCAAGGTCACTGGGCAACTGCACAACACAATTTAGGCAGGATGCCAGAACTTTTAGGAATGAAAGTGTAGGTCACCCTTCCAGGTAAAGAACCAAGATGTGCTGAAGTGCTTGCTAAAGGCCAAAGGAACACAAAATGGAAATACAAATTTAAAATGCTTGAGGACTGCTATTAAGTCAATCAACATTATGTTACAAAGAAAGAAAATAATACATGTGTCCTTAATATATAGCAGAAGGCAGCTATAAATACAGCTATGACTGCATGATCAGTTACAGAAATGAGGACTATAATTGTCATAAATATTTCTTTACTATTTTGTTAATATGTGCTTATATATATATATATACGCATATATTAAGCACACATATATTGCTTTCTTTCTTTGTAACATAATGTTGACTGACTTAATAGCAGTCCTTAAGTACTGTCAAATCTATATTTTAATGTTTAAGCTGTGGAATGTTGGAAGAAGAGTAAACATGGCCCAAGAAAAACTTTGTCTTCTCTACTGGGGAAGAAATAGGTGTTTCCTCTAGTACACAGGATAGTTGTACCATGTTAGATGTAATTATGAACTTGCTATTGTATTTGGAATTAAATATGGTTCAGGGAGATATGTCTGGCAAGGGTGATTATGGTCATTAATTGTAATATGTCAGTTTAACTTCAGTGAGAGCCACCTCGCAGATTATTAAATTCTGGGTGTGTCTGGGGATGATCAACATGTGTATCAGGGAGCTGATGGGCTTAAGACCCACCGCAGATGTGGGTGCCACCAACCAATACGTTTGCACTTTGGACAGAATAAAAGGGGAAGGAAGAGGAAAGTGCTCCTCTGTTTTGGAAGAATTCGGGTCTTTGCCATTGACGTTTGTAATTGGTCTCCAGTTTCCTCAATTTTCTGTCCTGATACTTCAGCCTTCTGACAGACTCATACCAGTAACTCTGCAGTGAGCTCCCAGGACTGGGCCCTTCGTCTATTACTGGGTCCTCTGCTCTCTGGTGCACAGCCAGCCATTTTGGATTCTTCTACCTCTGATCCAGCAGAGGGCTACTGGAACGCTTCTGCTTCTGCTTCTGTAAACCTACCTAACACACTCCTTGTATAATCACATATATATTTAATATCGAATGTGTTCCTCTAGAGAACCTTAATACAACTGGTATGAGATTTCAGTGGAAAAAAAAAAAACTTGTAAACACAAAAACAAGAAAAACAAACAAAAGACAAACCTCCAAACCAGACCCCCAACCAAGGTGGGAAGAAAGGTTCCCAATTTCACTGTCCCTATTCATCCATGTTTCTTCACAATCCAAGACAATCGTTTTCAGAGTATTCTGATCTATAAAAGGAATGCACACAGTAAGAGCAGGCAGGAATGGAGGGAAGGAATGGCAATCAAAACACAACAGTGACTTGGTTTACTTGAGAAAAACAGTGATTTTTGAGTCACAACATCCAGTGACTGAGATAGAAAATGGCTAAAAAATCAAGTTTGTAATTTACCTAGACTGTTACTTGGAGTGGGGTAGTATGAAGATGATGATATGACATGAGTCTGAATTTTTAAAGCTTCAAGATTTCAACAGAATGTAAATATATTTAAATTTTCAGATAGGACATTGTTAGAGAGGAAACCAAGACTGGGAATTCCCATCACCTTTCCATGCTTTGTGCTCCAGGAAATAATCATTTACGCGTTTACTATAGGTCACACCTTTTTCTCCTAGTACCTGGTACAAAATAATCTACCACCTCCCCAACGTGTCTTTCCAATCCCAATTCCCCCAATTATTTTGGTCCCTAGGTGGTGTTATTTATTAGTGGTGTATAGACTCCCAACTACCCTCCAGGGTAAAAAAAAAAAAAAAAAGGAATTTTCTGTAGGCTTATCCCCAAAACTCAATAAAAATAAGACAAAGGATTGATGGCCTTCTAGAAATTGAAACAATTTGAGACATGAAATCAAGTTTTTCACGACTAGGAAATATATTCAGATAGTGTTTGTTTAATTCATCTGTGCCACAATAGGGTAAGAAATAAAATGTAGAAACCTTACTTCTTCATTGTTTACATCTCCCCTACTGCCCAACCAATTCAAATGTTACATCTCATTATGTCATTATGATTTCTGATAAACGGAGGCCCCTAGGTATTAATCACACAGACAATGGCATGATTTCACAAGAACACACCACAATTTAAAAAAAAAAGGAAGGCCTCAAGAGATAGAGGAAAAGGTGAGGGAGAAAAGGGATAGGGTTGAGAAAAAGAATTAGGATGTGCACATGTACCAACTCCGCATAATGAATGTAAACATCACATACTATAGACGTATACTAATAAAAAAAATCTGAAAAAGTAAAGCTGTTCTCTCTCTCCCCCGCCACTGGTGATTCTCTCTTTACTTCAATACTTTAAAGGCTGCAGAATTATGTAAAAGAATTTTTTTTTTTTGAATAAGATATTAAGAATGGTCCTCAGGAGACGGTAAGTTTTATTTTGTCCTGTCCAGATGGAGGTTTGGTTTATCCTTGGATGTTCAGGGTGAAAAGCAATTAGCAGAATGGAGAAGATGGAGAGGTCTATGCTGTAGTCTTCTCCCTCATTTTCATCTTCACTACCCAATGAGCAGCTGTCCTGCTTGCAGAACTGAACTTGGAGGTTGGGTTTTCTTTGAGTTTCCTTTGTGCAGGTACAGATCTAGAACCTTGATTTTCTTTGTCATCCTTCCTATCTGACTCCTTGTAGGGGGTCTTTCTTTTTTCTTTCTTGCTTTCTTTTTTTTCTGTCTCCTACATCATGACAGTAGTGCCCAGCTGGCCTTTTTAGACACGCATACATCCTATCTGTTTTATTTTCATCTTTCCTTGCTGGTCTTTCTTCAGATGGCTGAGTTGGAGCTACTTCAGCCACCACTATGTCTAGGAATTTCTGTCGGAGCTCTGGGACAGAGCAGGAGGGTTGCTCTACCACCCGTTCTCCTCTGGTGGAGAGGCTGGCATTACCTTTGGAAGCTGATCATGTTTGGAAAGGTTAGAAACTGGAGAGTAACAATTTTCCACCTTTTTGAGTATTCCATTTTTTAAAGACTCCTTTTTCTCCTTTACGTATTTTTGCCAGGTGGGGCTATGGTTCCAGTCTGCAATAGAACTTTTCTTTCCTTGACTGTTTTCTAGAGACTTCTTTTCTAGAAACTCCATTTTCCTTGGGCCCTTTCTTTCCTTGACTATTCCTGTACCTTAGTCTCTTCACTTTGCCAGTTTGATCGCTGTTTTGGTTTATCTAGCCCACGCCATGATTTCTCCTGCTCCTTCCACTGCTTTTCCTCCACTTCTCTTTCCCTAGCAGCTGTGTCAACAGGTTTTGCACCTCCAAAGATGGAAAGTGTGCGACTGGGCTGGGAGGGACTAGTGGAGGAATCATCTGCCTTAGAACTGCTCTGAGGTTTCAGACTGCATCTGGGTCTGTGGGGCAGACCCCTATAATTACGCCAAGAGCTGTCTCTAGAGTAATCATCTCTGGAGCTCCATGGCCCATTGTCTTGTCGACCATCACAGCGGTCCCCATCTTCTCTGCAGTAATCATTGCTATGGTGCCCACTACCAAATGCTTTTCTGCTATTGAATATTCTGGACTCATTGTCTCTATCACAGCTCCTGCTGTCTCGGTGACCATAGTGATATCGGTTCCCAAATAGATTCATAGTTCTGGATAGGCCATTCTGATACCTATCACCATCTGAATCATAACAGTCATGGTACTTGCTTCCAAAGCTCACATCATCTCTTCTTGGTAGATTGTCATCATCCGTGTTGTCTGTCGCAGGACGGGCCCTCCAGTCCGTGTCTGTTTTGTCAGGTTCTCGTTTTCTATCCTGGTGTGCTTGATTAGCTAAGACAACTCGAATGATCCTTTTGCCTAGACACTGTTTATTGAGATTCAGGGCACTGAGCAGAGAATCCAAGTCCTCAAACTCAACATAACTGAAACCTTTCAACCTTTTTGGATTGCAAGGGTCACGTGGTAAATTCACAGCCCTGATATTTAACCCTTTAAAGAAGTTTTTAAGGGACTCTTCTGTCAGATCATTGGGCAGGTTCCCAAGAAAAGCAGTGTAGGGTGGAGACTTGGGAAGATGGCTCCAGTCGACGTTGGGTTTCTGAGCAGTGGCAAGGGCAGAGTGGTTGGTTCTGGGAGCCCCATCCACAGCCTCATCACCACTGTGCCATCTGGTTGAGACATCTTCTTCCAGATCTTCTGTTTCCTCAGCCCAGCTGATTGATTTGAGGCCATGGCTGCTTCCTCTATCAGTGCCTCCACTGTCATTCAGGAAGTCTGTTAGGGAGATAGTTTCCTGCTTCTTATTCTTTTCTGATGAGGCCTCTATGTTAAGAGAAGGAAAGAGAACACAAAGGTTACATTACAAATATATGTTTATAATGCAACATATATGTTATACCTGTTACATATGTCTATATTTTATTAAGAGCCAATCTTTTATATATTAACCTATATTATATTATTTATAATACAAATAAAATGCATTATATCAAAAATATGCATTTCTGTGTATTGTATATGTAAATGAGTGCTTAGTTCTCTATATATTATATATTATTTGAGATATGTTTTCTCTCTCCCTGTCTATAAATTAAAAACCTGGAGTCATAGTTTCATTACCAACTGGGCAAAATCAAGCTGTGAAGCAAACATACAGAGCTGATAAAATACCACATACAATAAAGGAACAAGAATATGTTTACAGAACTTTAATAAAATATATGAAATCACTTTCTACATGAGCAGGACTGATGTGTAAAAAAACTTTCTTCACCTACGAGGAACTGTCTTCACCATCATAAATATGATCACAATGCACATAAGACTATGTAGGTGGCAGCTAAGCGTTTTTACCCACTTTTATAATGTCAGGATCACTCCCTCTCCAGTGGGTTAAATTTATGTTCACTACTCTGAGAAAACAGCCCTTACCTGGCAACAATACAGCACAACAACAATTAGCAAGTTAGCTTCAAACTGAGATATCTAATCTGTATAGTACACATAATTATATATATATATGTATATATATATATATATATCAAGTTAACTACACCACTATTTCTGTAGCAAAACCTCTATTTAAAGTACATGGAATACATAGGACTGCAAATAACTTCACATGGATAAAGTTCAGATGAGTCTTCTGTGGCAGACATCTCAAGGGGCCAATCCCTGGACACTGGCTCTTGGTGTCCACACCTTGTGAAATTCCTTTCTTTTAAGTGTGGACAGGGCCAGAGCATTGCTTCTGACCGATAGAATATGACAAAAAAGATGGACTGTAACTCCTATGATTACAATTCATTATTTATACACTATCTTGCAAGCACATTTGCTATGGAGACTCCTTTTCCTGGGCTCCCATTGAAGAAACTAGTTGGTTGTGTGTATGCCCACTGAGCAAGGAGCTGATGAGAGGACCCCGCAGCTGAGGGCAGCCTGTAGCCACAGCCAGCAGGAAGCCTGGGCCTCACATACTGCAACCCAAGGGGAATGAATCCTGCCAGCAACCTAAGTGAGCATGGGAGGGACCTTCCCCAGGCAGGAGTCAAGACAAGAACACAGCCTGGCCACACCTTCACTCTACCCTCCAGAGACCCTAAACAGGACACCCCAAGCTGAGCCGAGATTCTTGACTCACAAAGACTGTGAGATACTTGAATTGTTCCTAGATACTAAATTTTGCCATTTTCTTGGTAACAAGAAATAGCTACTACAGCCAGGAAATCATTTTAATTTCAGGTCTCCTTATGCAGGAAAATGAATCCAAATAAACATTCATTTTGCAAAACAGATACTGCATTTTGTAGTTATAGGAAATATTACAGAAATAAAGCAAGCACTGATAAATGGAGGAGGAAGACCAGCCACCGGGACAGTAAAACATAATTTTGTCAAGGTTCTAGCATTTACCTGTGTTATCTGAGTCAAGTCTCTAAAACTATTTGAAACATGGTCCACTATACTCATCTACCTTTCTGCACTGGTGTCAGAATTTGAAATAGTCACAGAATGTAATAGTCATCCTATGCCAAAGAAAGCCCATCTTTTTTTTTTTTTTTTTTTTTTTTTGGTAGTGGGAATCGAACTCAGGACCTTGTGCTTGCCAGGCAGATGCTTGTGCCACTGAGCTATATCCCCAGCCCAAGGAAAGTCCATCAAACTCTATCTAACTCCATCCTGTGTCGAACACTGTTAACAGTGTTCACGTGTGATTGCAGCTAGTATACAGGACAACTCAGTGTAGTGGGAACTGAGAATACACTCATTCATCAGAAGGGAAAACAGTGCCCGGAGCTGCCCGGGGTGGCAAAGCAGAGCAGGAACTGAAGGTCTCCTCAGATGACCAGGATGCAGGACAAACTCAGCAAGAGCCTGCTAAATGGGGAAAGTGAGGCAGCCATGCTGAAAATAATCACACAATCCTGAGCCTGCGTAAGGTCCCTCCCATCACAGCACTGAGAAAGCCCCTGATTCACATACCTTGAAGGTGTATTAACTTCATCTTCATATTCTTGTAAAGCTCATCAACACCAAACACAGTCTGAATCTCCAAGGAAAAGACTTCAGGCGCTTCCAGATTCACTGCACAAGTCCTAGAAAAAGCAGAGACTCCTCAGTGGTCTGCTCTATTCAACTCTGCCCACCTGGACCCTCCCTTCCTGTGTTCATCCAGGACTCACCTGCTCAAGGTGCCTTTCACATCCTGTAAAGAACAAAAACAAAAGGTGAACGAGTTAGCCTCCGGATTCCATGGGCTGTGGCATAAGTGACTCTGTTTGTAAACATACCACCCAAAGAAGGAAAGAGGGACCCAGCCTGAGACACTGCTGCACTCAGGAGCAATGATCTCACCTGGCCTCTGCCCACTCCGCAGGAGATTGTGATCTCCAGGGGGAACCCTTTGGGGAACAGCAGTGGCTATAGTTGCATCAGCCTGTGGCTGCTGGAGACACAACCAGATTTGCTCAGCTTCCCTTTGGCAAGTCTGGTTAGAGGTCACTTGTTACCAATATCCTCTACATAGCTCCTGAGAGTGGGCCAGCAAGATGGTGGCAGCCAGTGTCACAGATTGGTGTAATAAATATGCTATCTTTTCAACCTAAAATGTGACCTCCTTTTCCACTACTTGGATTCAGAATTAATAGCTCCAGCTGTTTATCTTCATGAAATGCGTTCTTTATGTAGTCCACAATATCTCTAAAGTAAGGGTTCTACCAGCAAATCAGAGGAAAGGTCGAGCTGCCCCGTTGTCATCTGGCACTTGGCACAACATTTGATGGGAGAGGCTGACAGCCTGGCTTCTGGGCACATGAAACAAGGGTGCTGGGGAGTGATGACGAAAGCTATCTAGGGGTCCTTGCAGCAACTCTGTACTCACTAGAAGAGGCTGTTTTTTCAGTGCTGGTCATTGAACCTTGGTTTCCTTACATTCTAGGCATGCACTGTACCACTAACCAACATCCCAAGTTCATTTTTTTTAATTTTAATTTCATCCTGAGTCTCACCAAGTCACCCAGGATGGCTTCACATTTGTGATACTGCTGCCTGAGCCTCCCCACTAGCTGGGATTACAAGAATAAGGATGGAACCTCATGCCAGGGGAAGTGTGTTTTCATATTTCACACACAGGTACCCCATAGACTAAGGGAGCTCTCCTGACGGTACTGATGTGTAAGATACCTAAGTCCCCACGCCAATGCCCACATTGTAGTGAAAGCATGTCTTACCGCTTTCCCCACGGTTACTGACATTGTTCTAACTGCTCAGTGTCAGAATCATTCTTTCCTTCTCCAGCCTCACCTGCAACAGTTTCTGGGCTGAGCTCTGACGTTTTGCCTCCAGTTCCAAGCGGCAGCTCTTAAGTTCCTCGCTCTTCTGCTCCAAGTTGGCCTCCCTCTCCTTCAGTCGCATCAACAGTTGCTCTTCTTCTTTCTTCAGCCTCCATAGATATGACTTCTCCTCCTCATGCAGCAAAGTGTGGAAATTCTTAAATTCAGACTCCATTTTTTGTCTCTGAATCTCTATCTTATCCTAGAATCAAGAAAATATGATGAAAACTATAAACAAACCAAGTCTCCATACCTGCATGAATAAATAAACAAAATGTGGTGTGTAGATACAATGGAGTCCTACCCAGCAGCAAACAGAATAGAAATCTGCCCCTTCCTGCAAGGATTAACCTTGAAGTCTTTCTGTTAGCAGATACAAACCAGGAACAAGAGGGTAAATACTGTAGATTAAACGTATATCTAGAAGGTATAATAGTTAAATTTATGGAAAAATAATGCAGGATGGTAGTTAGCAGGTAGTGGCAGAAAGGGAGAATGAGAGTTAGTGTTTCTGGGGACAGAGTTTAACTTTGGAAGATGAAAATTCTAGACATGTTTATGCAGTACTTTTATAACAATGGGAAAGTACCTACTGCCACTGAACTGTATACTTAAAATAATAAAAATGACAAAGTGTGTTTCGTTTATATTTTTCCACACATAGAAAATAAAGTGTAATCAGACACTGACATAAATTTCTCATGAAGGGCGGGGATATAGCTCAGCAGCACAAGCACCTGCCTGGCAAGTACAAGGTCCTGAGTTCGATTCCCAGTACCGAAAAAATAAAAAAATTTAAAAAAGAAATTTGGGCTGGGGATATAGCTCAGTGGCATAAGTGCCTGGCAAGTGCAAGGTCCTGAGTTTGATTCCCAGTACCAAAAATAAATAAATAAATACATAAATTTCCTGTGAGTCATTAGAGCAAGAAGAATGTTGTAAGGTTACTACTGGCATTCAGATTTTTAGAGACTATTTTTGACTTCTCTGCAGTCACCTGATGAAATTCCTCATGCAGCCAAATACAAGAGGAAAGTGCACATTAGTACTATGTTATTTATTTATGGAATTGAATTAGTGTCTTTTTATGTTGCCACATACAGGAGAAGAGTGGGTAAGTGTACAGATAATTTTTTTATTGAATAAAGGACGAGTAAAAACAAATTTTTCTTTGTGATGCTAGAAGTATCTTAGAGTCTGAGGAAATATGTTATAGTAAAAGCTAGGTAAGAATATCAAGAAAAGTGAATTTTAGTAAAATTTATCTGGTAGCACCTCTTGAATCTTAGAGGTATAGAGGGGCAGTTGTGGCACCTCACGTTATGGTTAATGCGCAAGTGTTCATCCACCTTCCCAGGGTCACTTTAATGATCCCTATGTATGAGACAACCAAAATAAATGACACAGCTCTCATATGACTAGATGTAAAACTACAATTTCTTGGAATTCTTTCTAAATTAATGCAGAATTTCAATGACAATTATACCATGATAAAAGGCCATTGATTAGAATGTTTATTTTGTTTAGGAATTTGGTACATATTTACCCCTTGGATTGAAGGGCTTTTCACATGCGTTAGCTATTCTCAAAGTCTTCCCCCTGCCCAAGATATCAGAAATGAGGGAGATAAGAGGATCCTCTGGAAACTAGAAATCAACTTCTACACACAGAAGAGGCAGAGGGTAAACAGGACCCAGAAAAGAGCAGACTGGCTAATGGGCCTGTGGACTGGACTATCAGCTAAAGGATTTCAGAGATATTTCAAAAGAGGAATGCGTCTCTGATAATGTGAAGCCTCATGAGCCATAGAAGAGGTCTGAAAGCATTTAGTTTGCAGGCCCAAAAGTACAGGTTCTAGCAACAGCCATAGTGACCCTTATAATGCAAATTAGCTTCCTGTATTGGCCTCAGGAATCCCAGCCAAGAGGGAGCCTGTTTACTGAATATGGTTAGGTGCAGTGAGAATAAACCATCTTTGTGCTTTGCCTTTTCAATCATCCTCTGTCCTTAAACTCCAAAGTGAAAAATAGTTCAAGTTCCAGGAATCAAATTCTTACCTTCCATTCAGTTATTTGGGTTGTTATGAGCTCCTTCTGATTCCTACACTCCTCTTGAAGTTGATTCAAATTTCTGGCAGCTTGCTCTAGCTTTTCCTGAAGGAAAAATTGGGTAAGTAAAATCTATTCACTTTTATTCTTCATGAGACACCACTTGCAGCATCCAAAATGTGGTAAAATAATAGGGAATATTCACTGAGTTCTTACATTTGCCAGGAAGACTGCTGAGTGATATAAGGGCAGCAACACATAGATCCCCACATCAACCCAAAACAGTTAGTGATGTTTTTTATATCCTTTCTACATTGTGCAAAAAGGGGCTCCAAAGAGGCTATATAACTCTAGGGAGAAAAGCTGGTAGGCAGTGGGGTTGCAATTCTGATATCCCATGCTGAGCAGGTCCTATACCATGTACCCTACCACACTAAGGCCAAAGGAAAATTACAAACAGATATGATAATCATCCAAAACAAAATCTTATAAATTAAGGTGTTAAACCAAAAATAACCAATTCCACAATGTTTAGCACCTGGAACTTTGTGAGTATTGTGGCTGAGTCAGAAAGAAAAGACCAGGATGACAGGTGAAGTTTTTAGGAACAGGTAACACCAGCAGGGGAGTTCTGATGTGTTGTGAAGATGGAATTATGAAGTCAATTTAAAAGGAGTTAGTGTCCATGTCAAATTATAGGTTATCTTTCAAAACAACCTCATGCTTTCCTTGAAAGCAAGTTAAGGCAGACACCAGCTGTTCACTGTCATAAGTAGTGGCTCTTCCCCTGTAAACCCTACAAGGACATTCATGAATTCTCTAGCACTCTCACGAAAGGGCTCAACCTGATTTAGCAGAACTGCCTTGCTCTGGGTATATGCCTCATGCTGTTCTAAGCTTTACACATTATAATGTCCTTAAAGTTCATACACCCCTAGGATATTTGTGATAAGGAGAAAGGGCAATGCTTTTATTCCTATATACAGATAGAGAACCCAAAGCATGAAGACATTCAATATCTTACCCCAAATTGTCCATCCAGTAAATGGAAGAGCTAAGCTTTCAACCTCAGCTGCCTGCCTCTGGGACTGACAACCATGACTGTGATCTGCTCATTTCCCCACTTGGTGGGAGAGGAACTCAAACAAGAGCATCCCTGTTACATGCATGAGCAGCTCCATGGAATCTAAGGAAGCACCACATGTACGGAGTAGGGGTCAGGACTGATGTGACCTTAGGAAGGTCTTGGAGCCTTCATAGGTTCCCAGCTCTTTATCATGAAGGAGAGAGCCAGGAGCCCATGCTGAGCATAAGTTCATGAGCTCTAGCAGGCCCAGAAGCAGTACTGCAGGACTAAGCTGGCTCCTTCCCTGAGAGCTTCCTTCCCTGGGAGCTTCCAGAACCCCTGTTTCCCACTCATCTTCCACATCTGTCATTTCCAAGTCGGCCACTCAGGAATCTTGCTGGAAACTGCCCTCTAGATCTCTTTCTTGAAAGGATCATTTGAATTCTAACTGGATATGCCTTTTATTTTCAGACTGCATGGGTAATTTTTTTCATTGGCAGTGAATCTTTACTCTGCAAGTGAAAATGCCCCTGTGACAGGTGATACTATGGTCTAGGATTGAGACTGGGAACTGAGACTCAGATCCTGTGGCCCTCTCTTTCTTTTCCCAGTCCCCACCTGCCTGTCTCCTGCACACGGCCCATAGCCTGGCCAAGGCAAAGCAGAATCCCCATGCCTTTGCCTTTTTGCATGTGTGGGTCCTTCTGCCTGGATGCCCTACAGAGGCTAAGTGTATGTGTCCTCCAGAACCATCTCTGGGATGCACCACTCCTTCCTTTCCTACCTCTCTCACTACCAAAATCTGGGGTTCCAGGCTGTCACTTTGCTGAACTGTGTTTCTACTGGACTTTACAATCTCCACAGAGCATGCATCCTCTACTCCTTCCTTTTCCAGATTCTTTTACTAAGTCCCACCCACTATAGTGTCTCACAGTATACACAGTGTGAAGCAGAACCCAGGCAGGTGTTTGGTTGAACATGTGCCAGAACAGAGAGAAGTCTATCATAACACAGAGAATAGGGGCAGGAGTGTGACCATCATGTTGAAGGTCGTGGTGGACCCGTATATGGATCCATCACAAGCTATTTTTCAAAAGAATACCACCTCTATGCTTTAGGGTCATCATTTTAGGCTTTGGGACCAGTACGCTCAGGTCTAGGAAGCACCACAGTGCAGGTCCTTGCTGAGGCCCTGGTGCACACTTACCTTGTAGTCCTGGCACACGTCCTCCACCAGCACTGTGTTGTGCCCTTGGTGCTGCGGTGCCCGCTCACAGCGCCAGCAGATGAGCTGGCCGTCATCTTCGCAGAAAAGCTGGAGCTGCTGTCCATGGGCCTCACACAGTAGCTCATCCTCTTTCTCCTCCATTTCCTGTATAACCTCAATGAGATTTTCCAGTTGCCTGTTGGAGCGCAGACTATCTTTATGAAAAGGTTCCCGACATAGAGGACAGAAAAACATCTTCTCCCCCTGATTTTGGGGCATCTGTTCAAAATACAGCTTCAAACAAAACTGGCAGTAGCTATGTCCACAGGTGATGCTCACTGGATGCATCATGAGGTTCAGGCAGATGGAGCAGGTAGCAATCTCTTTCATCTTGTTGGTGCCAGTGGTTGAAGCCATGACTTTTCTCAAAAACCTCCACTATTGATCTTGTTGTGGAGATGAAGCAGCTAGAATTTCCACAGGGTTGGGAAGAGAGCTAATGCGAGCCTGTGTACAAGGAGCTGGCTGCAACCACCTCCACAAGTCATACAGAACTCTTTCTGGAAGGATAAAGTAAGGCAGAGTTTAGAATGTGTATAAACATCTAGTTGTGTTATCTGATGTTGTAGCCACTATTGTTTGTGGCCATTTAAATGTAACAGTGAATATTTAATAAAATTTAAAATCCAGTTTCTCCATCTTGCTACCCATAATTAGCTGCCCAATAGCTTCCTGTGTTTCTAGGATGGCACAGCCACAGGACCTTACATCACTGTGCAGAGACCCCTAGGGCCAGTGCTGAGAGATGGAGAAGCCAAGCAGGATCCCCCATAGACGCTGGAGCAAGAGCCACAACTCAGTGAGGGAGTGAGAAACTCCTTCTCGTTCTAATGAGCATCAAGAACAATTAGCACCAGAATTATCTCTTTATGCCCAGTGACAACACTCAGCCCATAGTGGGATCTATGGAGGATTCTGTTTAGACAGTCAAACTGCATTCCACCTTAATCTAGACCCCTAGCCCACATAGATTGTAGGAGATAATGTTCAGAGAGTGCTAGTGAAGAACAAACCAGGAGGATGAAAACAGTAACCAAGGCATACAAAAGAATTGGTTTATTGTCCCCCTCTTTAAGTTGAAAGAAAGAAAACTACAAAGAGATCTAGGAAGAAAGGTGGGACTTGAGGTCTAGTTATTCCTCAGGATAGAAATTTGGTGAACTTGGGAGCCTACTGTCTTCTCCAGGTTGAGAACTTCTTCCAAGAGAAGCTCAGGTGATCGGAGCACAGGGAAGGTGGAAAGAAGATGGGGAGAAGTCTCTGTGGGATCCTGCTGCTAGACGCCTTCATGTCCACCCCTGAGGACCTGATGAGCAGACCCTGTGGAGAAGTGACCAGGAGCCAAGTTCATGTCCTTGTCTCCTATACCATGTCTTCTTTGAACCCATCCCTGTCCTCCCTGCACTCCACTCCACCCTGGGGAGATTATCTAGGATGAGTGCAGAATGGGGGAAAGTAGGCAAGGTGTCTTTTTCGGGAAATGTCTGTGCCTAGATTTATTTATTTATTTATTTATTTTGGTTTTTCTCCGGTACCGGGAACCGAACTCATGACCTTGCGCTTGCCAGGCAGGCGCTTTTTGCCGCTGAGCTAAATCCCCAGCCCCTTGTGCCTAGATTTAAAAACTGGAATTCAAATAATATTACCAAATACATCCTTTTCCTCAAAAACTATGACCAGTCCCTTAGAGTCACACAGGATTTCTTCTACAGGCCTCTGTTCTTGGCTGGTCACTTCCCCAGCGGTACACTAAAGCCCCGTCCTCTTGGTGCTGGCCTCCTGGAGACCAGGGCCTCTTCTCCTTTAAAACCTCTGATGACCATACTTGGCCTCACTCACCTTGTATTCTGGTTCTTCTGAGATGTGGTGTGGTTTTAGGTGAAAGCCACAGCAGAGGAAGGGTGCAAGCTGTGAGCTGATACTCGGGCGTTTCCTGAAGTAAAGAGCAGGTGCCGTGCTGTCAGGAAACCCTCCCTCCGTCCTCACCACACTGTCACAGACACCCAGCCCTGCTCCATCCTCCACCCACAGGACCCTCCGTGGACCTGTCAGGAAGACACTCACTACCTGCCACTAGTTCAAACGATGCCATCACTTCCTGGGCTGAGGCAATCAGTTACCTCAGATCTGAGAAATGAGAAGTGAAACTACTGCAGGAGGCGGGGCTTAGATCCACCTCAGTGAGAATGCTCATTTCCTCTCCACTCAGCTTGTTTCGAAAGAAAAAAAAAAAAAAACAAAAAACAAAAAACAAAACAAAACAGCCTCTTCAAAAGCAGCAGGCACAAAAGACAAAATAAAAGCCCAGGAAACTCCCTTGTGACACCAGCACAGGCTGTGGAGGAACAGGAGGCCTGCAGAGCGCCAGCTCACAGTTCTGATGAGAGATCTTTCTCTTCTGTCCTCAACCCTCCTGGAGTCCACAAGCCTCCTGACCTGTGTATTTTTAGCTCCTTCTAGGTGACTTGTGGTTTTCTCACAGTTCTGATGGGGTGGAAAGGGGAAGCAGCCCGTGGGCTCCTTGGAGTCACAACATCCTCCAAGCCAGCCTCTCACTCCTCTCTGTCCTGTGCTGGGTCTCCTTTTCCTCCTCGTTGCCCTTCTGGGGGACTCAGGTACTTTTCAGTAGCCTGAGTCCTCTACTCAGCACAGGAAACAGGAGCCACTAATGGTCCAGCACAGAGTTCTCTTACCAAAGGACTCTGTGACCCTGGGACCCATAGCTCTGATCTTCACACTGGAGAGAAGACTGTGGAACTCGGTGTCACAGTCTGAATGCCTCAGCCTAGGCTCTCCGTTGCTAAAGGATACCAAAAAGACTGTTACCACCTGTCATAGTTACTTTTCTCTCATTGCTGAGACAAATATCTGATACCCAAGGTTAAAGCAGAAAGGATTTATTTGGCTCACAGTTTGTGGAGGTTTCAGTCTATAATCAGCTGCCTCCAAGGCCAACTGGTATGACAGAGGAGCAACAGTTCTTGGAGGTGGAAAACAGCAAAAGCAACAAGAGCAAAGAGGGGAGAAGCAAGCCTCTTTTCCTCCCTTATGGTGTATGCAGGCTACCCCCCTTAGAGCAAGTATAACACTCACACTCTCAACTCCAGCACTAGACAATGAGCTAGTCACAAACTCTAGATTCAGCCGCCTCCAAAATCTGCCTCCCATGATTGCATGAGGCTTTGGGGGAACATCCAGACACAAACCATAGCATCACCCAACACACAATTCTTCTTAATGGGGAAAAGCAGAATGCCAACTTGAAAAAAGACCTTGTCACAGGACAAGGATCCCCCATAGATGTTGGAGGAGGCCTGTGTGCTGGTTTCTCAAGAGTCAACCTGGCCTGTGCTGTGTGGGGTCTGCTCCCACGGGACCTGCCAAGGTTACATTACAGCCTCAGGTGGAGGAGGCGTTTATGGTACATACACAAATCTTTTCGTATAAGAAATTACCACATGCATTTCTTTTAAGGAGCTGGTATAGGGCTCCGGAGATAATGGAAGAAAGAAGATAAATCTGGATTCTGGGTGTCCTCCAGGGCCATCCCTGGGCCGCTAGTCTGGGTGACCCTGAAAGCTTGCCCGCGGTCAGTGATGACTCTGATAGCTGCCCACAGTGAGTGACTGGCAACAGGCAGTGCCGGGAGCACGGACTTCAGAGCATCCCTCCCTTCTGGCCCAACAGCTCAGGCTAGAGGCAAGAAAGTGAAATAGAGTCCTCTCCTCCCCAAACAGGAGACTCTTTTGGGCACTCTGGCCTCCTGCCTGCTCACAGAACCTTCTACCATTTTCCACATAGTAATTCACTGTGTCTTGGCAGGTCCGGTGGGAGCAGACCCCACACAGCACAGGCAAGGCTGACTCTTGAGAAACCAGCACACAGACCCTGGAGCAGGAGTGAGTTTTTCAGTCCCTAAGCCCATGGTTACTCTTTCCAAATATTCCTGACTTTCATTAATGTAGACATCACTCTGAATTCTGGCCCAGTTTATCCCAAATATTTCCTATCAAATATCAATATCATTTCCTATTCAAATGCAAGAAAGAAGACAAACTACAACTACCAACAAGAAACAACTGCACAACAAAAGCAAGATAGTCCATGTGGTGACAGCTTCCCCCTGTTTCTTGAAGCAAGAAGGAAGAGCTAGTATGCGCAGTAAATAGCAGACCTTAGACAGCAATGAGATCACAGCAGAACTCAGATTCGTGTCTCCAAAGCTATGGCTACAACAGAAACTCTCCCATGGAGGGAGGTATCACCTCCAACAAATAAGCCTGGGCTGATCCTGTGAGTCTCAGATGCACGGGACAGATGTGAGTGGGGAATGGGTCATTAGAATCTCCTAAAAGAGATTCTAGAGTCTTCCCTTGTGGGAAGAGTCAGTCTCAGCCAGCCCTGAGCACCTTCCCTGGACTCCTTCAGGTTTCCTTCTCAACCATTCCACTCAGAACCTGCTAAAACCTGGGTCTTTTTCTCCCTTGCAACTCCCTGCAAATTCCCCTATTTTCTTCTCAGAGCCTTTTTCACTGTATATTTCACTCATTTATGTTATTTCTGTGTGCCTCCCCAGTGAGGATGAAAGTTCCATAAGGGTAAAGATTCTCATTGATATTCACTGATGGATCCCAGATCTAGAAATCTTTTCAGCATCATGAGTATGTTAAATGAAAATCTGCCTGGCTCTAGTAAGCACACATCTTAAAAGATGTATTCCCACTTGTGTGTCTCTGTGGTGTGGTATGAGTTGTGAGCCAGCTACATGGTGATGTGCCCTGGATTATATGTAATTGTATGTACATGCATGTTGGGAGAGGTGCAGGTTACTAGGGTAAGTGTTATTAGAATGTTTCAGATCCCACGGTCATTCCTGGTTTCCAGAGAGCTGCTTTCCTCTGTCCTGTAGGATACATGGATGGCTTGGATTGACTGGGTGAATATGAAAATGGAAGAAATGGACATCTGAGAAAGAAAGGTGAGAGGAGATATGTTAACATCAAAGTGTGAAAGCAGTTGTGAGGACAGACCTTTCAGATGATCAAAGGCAAGAGAGTCAGTGCCACTTAGAAGTAGGTGGAAGGACATAGGAAGATAGGGACAAAATGTCGGAATTGAGACTCACTGGTATGCAGAATGATGGACACAACAAAGTGTATCCCTCAAGAAAGTCTTAGAATTCTCATGAGAGTATGAAAGATAGCTTTTCAAATTCCTGTGATATGGGTAAGTGATTCCCTTGAGCCTGTTCCAGGGATGAACTAAAGTTTAAGGTAGATAATTTTCCTGAGTAGCCCAGAAGCAGGTAGCAATAATATGTATAAAGGCAACTAACATTTGTTGCTTCATGCCAAGCCTGTGCCAAAATCTAGGTTTGTTAATGTCCTCCTTTCAAGTAAACACTCTAGGGTTTAAAGTGCAACATGTGAGATGAAAATTCACTAGAGGAATCAATGGAAAAACTAAAAAAGCAACAGAAAGAATCTGTGCAATGGAAAATAGGTCAATTAAGATTCTTCAGTACAAAAAAACAGAGAGTAGAAATATGCAGAAAGAATAAAGAAAAATGAATAGAGGCTCAAGGATGTGTGAATACAATATAGCCAAACTGAGACTCCCAGGGGAATAGGAAAAACATAAGAAAGAGAATATTTGAAGGGGTAGTGGCTGAAACTTTGCAAATTTAGATACAACACTAATTTACACATCAAAGGAGCTGAATGACTTTCAGATAAGATAAAAATCATAGAGACCCATGCCTAGATATACCATAATCAGATAAGCAAAAGAAAAAGAAACTTGAAAGCAAAAAAGAAAAAAATAGAAGCTCACATACAAGTGACCATTGGTATGATTGACAGATGACCTCATACTAGTTATGGACATCAGGAATCCTTGAATTACAAATTCAAATTTTTAAAAACGACTCTCTGTCAAGAAATCTACATTCAGAAAAACTAAAACTGTCTTAAAAAGGAAGAATGAAGACATTTCCTGATAAACCTGAGTGACTCACTAAAAAATCTGTTTTATAAGATATATTTAAATTTTTTCCAGGCTGATACAAAGGCAGGAGACTGAATCCACATAAAGAAATAAAGGGTGCCAAGAAAGGATGCCATGTAGGTAAAAGTGAAAGACAGTATAATTGTACTCTTCATCAATGCTTCCTTTTGTAAATTTGTATTAATGACCATGTAATGCATAGAGGTATAATTTGTATGACAATAATTACACAAAGAAAGAGAGATAGGTCGGTAATATACTGCAGTGAAATTTTTATATATTATTGAAATTAAGTTGGTATGAATCCAAACCAGAATAGGTAATATGCTAGTGGTAATTCTCAAAGCAATCACTATGAAAACTCAAAGACTGTAGTTCAAGAAATGAGAAAGAAATTAAAATGGTATGTAAAAAACATGTTTAACACTACACAAACGTCAGGCGTGGTGGTGCAGGCCTGTAATCCCAGCACTTAGGAGGCTGAGGCAGGAGGATTATTGTGAGTTCAACACAAGTCTGGGCTACAAAGTGAGCTCAAGGTCAGCCTGAACTGCATAGCAAGACCTTGTCTCAAAAAAGACAAAAAAAAAAAAACCCGAACAAACAAACAAACAAAAAAACACCAAAACACTACACAAAGTAGTAATGGAAAAACACTAGAAATGTATAAGGTATGTAGGCATATACATATTCTCCTCATTCAATGACCTACCTACTTAATGATGGTTCAGAGTTATGACTGAGACATGCTGTTCAGACGTATGTCCTGCTGCTCTGACTTATGACCCATCCTTTTCTTTGTACAATTATGTACATCTTGTTTATAAAACCTCAATGTCTTTTTTGTACAGTATACCTTTTTTATACAGCACTGCAATTTTTGATGATTGTAGTATACAGTACTATAATTTTATGTTCTGTTAGACATTACAGTACTGCATGTAAGTTATAAAAATAAAAGCAGTCATCAAGTTGGAGTTTCCTTTGACCATTTCTCTGTTCTGAATATTGTAATTCATTTTTTTATTTTTTAAAGAATAAAAACATTAGAA